AATGTGGGAATCCCTTGGGATCACACGTGGGGCCCAGGAATGTGGGAAACCCTTGGGATCCCATGTAGGGCCCAGGAATGTGGGAATCCCTTGGGATCACACGTGCGGCCTGGGAATGTGGGAATCCCTTGGGATCACACGTGGGGCCCGGGCAGGTGGGAATCCCGTGGGATTGGCCCCAGAGGCGGCTCTTTTGGAAGCACGGGTTGCCCTCACGTCCCCGCCTCTGCAGGTCCCCCCTGCAGCACCAGAGCCGCGTTGTTTTTCCCTTTCCCCCGTTCTTTTCTTCTCCCATTTCCCTGTAACAAGCAGGGCTTTCCAGGAGCCGCCTCGCTCCCCCCGTGTCCCCCCTGAGTCATTCCCACTGTCCTTCCAGCGGGATGTGCCGCTCCCCACGTCCCGGGCTGGCGGCAGCGATGACTGAATGCAGCACAGTGAACATTTGAACATTTCCTTCCCTTTGTGCCAATCCCAGCAGGGAATTCCAGTGCCAGGCACAAACAGCTCATCTCCAAGGGGCTCAGAGGCAGGAATTCCCTGTCCCACGGGGGGTTTATGGGATGCTGTGGATGGACAGGATGAGCTTTTCCAGGCGAAGGGATTCCGTGGTGGAGATGTGGCACTGAGGACAGGCTGCTCGGGAGCTGCTCCAGCACCAGCCTGGGCTGTCCCTGTTGGTGTCTGGGGAGGGGACAGGGTGGGCTCACCCAGGTCCCACTGTCCCTGCCGGGCTGGAAAGAGGGATTGGTTCTTCCAGGGATGGAGGTGGCTCCGTGAGCCCTGGGTTTGTCCCCAAACAGCAGCAGTGCCATCACATGGCAGCCACCTGTGCCAGCCTTTGCCCACCCATCTCAGCACCTGCAGAGCTCCTCGTGCTGCCAGTCCTGTCCCTGTCCCTAGAGCCCTCTGGGGACAGTTGTACTCCAGAAAAACAGTGGGGAATGAAACCCCCCAGCCCCTTCCACCCACTCCCCTTCCCATCCACGTCCCTTCGGCTAAAACGACACAGTGACCCACAGATCCAGCCACTGACCCCAACCTCACCCCTAATCCCAGCACACATCCACCAGCCCACGGGTGTCTGTACCCCATTAAAGAGAATTCAAGAGCCTGGAGAAGTGGCCACTGCCACAGAGGGACCCAGGCTGGTGACAAGCTGGCATTTGTGGCACCTAAAGCCACGCAGGACACCCCTCACTGCGGTGTGGCTCTTCCTGGAGGGGGGGAATGCACTGAACCCTTCACTAAAGGTGTGGGGTCAGCCCTGCACAGGGCTTCAGTCCCATCCCAGCCTCTGAATCAGAAAAAAATAGAATGAAGAAATCACAGAATCAATCAGGAAATCACAGTCACAGAAAGGTTTGGGTGGGAAGAAACCTTAAACCCCACCCAGTGCCACCCCTGCCCTGGCAGGGACCCCTCCCACCGTCCCAGGAGCTCCAGCCCCAGTGTCCAGCCTGGCCCTGGGCACTGCCAGGGATCCAGGGGCAGCCACAGCTGCTCTGGGAATTCCAGCCCAGCCCCTGCCCACCCTGCCAGGGAACAATTCCCAATTCCCAATCTCCCACCCAGCCCTGCCCTCTGGCAGTGGGAGCCATTCCCTGGGTCCTGTCCCTCCATCCTTGTCCCCAGTCCCTCTCCAGCTCTCCTGGAGCCCCTCCAGGCCCTGCAGGGGCTCTGAGCTCTCCCTGGAGCTTCTCCTCTCCAGGGAGCACCCCCAGCTCTCCAGCCTGGCTCCAGAGGGGCTCCAGCCCTGCAGCAGCTCTGGGGCAGGGACATTTCCCAGTGCAAAGCAGTGACCTTCGATGTGAAGGATTTGGGCTGGGGCAGGAATGCAGATTGATCCCTGTGCATTTGTGTCAACAACTGTCCCTTTGTGCCCTGGCATCCCCAGCGGGGCTCTGGGGAGGAGAGCTCCGGGCTGTGCCAGGGAGGACGGGCCCGGCTGCCACTGCAGTCGCTACTCCTGCGAGGCTGCAGCCGGGATTTGCAGGATTTAAGGGCTCAGGCACCAAAGGGCTGCAGGATTTACAAGCTTCCTTTGGTTGCCTCTGGTGGGTAAAGCTGGGCATTGAGGAGAGCCGAGTGCTGGTTCTGCCCTGACAGGGGTGCCCCGAGCCCCCACCCCTGACCCCACTGCAGAGGAGCCCAGGGTCCCTCCTGGGGTGATCTGGCTGCTGCTGGTGCCAGCTTTGCCCTTCTCCATAGGTGCTACGCCGCTTTTCCTCCCGGATTTCGGGGAAGGAGAACTCTGCCAAATTGCTTAAACCCATGCAGACACAGATTTGTGTGTGAGGCCCCACCAAAGCCCCCAGCCCTCTGCTGCTGGGGCCCAGCCCGGGGGTGCTCCAGGCCACCGGGGCTGCGGGGCTGAGTGACAGCAGCAGGGTGACACTGCCTGTGTCCCAGCCTGCACCCCCTCCCCGGGCAGGGCGCTGGGGGTGCTGGGGGTGCTGGTGGCACTGGGGGCACTGGGGGTGCTGGTGGCACTGGGGGTGCTGAAGGCACTG